ATATAATAAAAGAAAATAATGTAAGTAGCTGAATCTTTTTGCTATTGAGCACCATGAAAATTTAACACAATTTAGCCGATTTGTTTATTTTCACAATCGTTTCACAATGTCTATGATGAGGCGACCGCAGGAACGTCACTATTCGTGCAATCCTATCAATGAAGTACGACATTTTCTGGTGCAGATTTTATCGCCATAAATTATGAAACTTGATAGTCATGGATTTGACTGACAGCTGTCCGTCAAATTCCCGCCCCGCACCCCGCACTGTACATATTTTGTTCGCGATGTCTGTTCTATACGTAGTAATATTACTTCAATGCATATAAATCGAAATATTTTTTTACACTACTATGGTACTTACTTATTGTAGCAACCGTTATCCAGTTAATTTGTAAGCGGACGTATTTGAATATTTTATACTTTGTTTATAATTCTTGCAAAAATGAACTTAAATCGGGATAGCAAAATTATCAATGTCTTTTTGACATCGCTTTTGTCAAAACTTAAAGCTGCTTAAAGAAGTTTTTATTATAGGGATAAATTAACTAGAAAAAGGATTTAAAAATTATTTTGTAAATCCCTATTTTAACTAAAACTTAGGCCTTCTGTAGCCTTCCTAAAGTATCAAATTAGTTCATAGAAAACGCACTAGGGGCGCGTGAATCGTCCCTTAACAAAACGCTCCAACATTTTTTATTTTCACAAATTACAATAAGGTAATAGGTAATATTTTTAGGGTTCCATGCATACGTGCGGTACAAAAGAAATGTGAACCGTTTACCAAATTAACAATACACAGACGTCTAGGGTTTTCCATTACATGAATTTTTCTATTGAAATTGCGACTTATTTTTCTACCAACTGCCTGAGTTTTCATCTTCTATGTACGAGTAATTATTCCCAACAATGTTATCTTTACGGCCAAACCGTCACCTGATGTAACTTATGACGAATCGACCCAAGACAAGTGGGTGAAGGCTCTAACGGCCGGCCCATACTAAGCAGCGCGTCTTCCTTCCGATGGGACGTGGCTTATTACATTGTGACGTTTATTGCCGATATAAATATGTACATCATTTTACAAGTCTGTAACGTTAGTGACCACTGGATTTTGATTCATTTAAACAGATTTTAACGCGATACGCATAGGTAATACTGAAATATTACCTGTATTTGCCTGACGATCGAATTTCTCTGTTGCCACTCATTATTACTATGGAATCATTCCTAAAATCTTGTCAACTATTTACCATCTAAAAGTAACCATGCATATAAGTATGTTTTTGTTCCTTTTAGCTTACGTAAGCTATGTTTGCTTCTTCACAATAAAAGTATAGATTACATAATTACATAATATTCAAGGTGACCACATCCTAAAGAAAAAGCACAATTCAAATGTGCTGTCAAGATGACATCCGCTCGCTGTTAAATTGGTCGTGGAAGTCCTCGGCTGCCAGTTAGCTAACTGAGGGCCATGGTCCTCATCAATCAAGTTAATTTGGACACAAAGTTAAGACTTTAGTAAATGTCTAGCAAGAATGAGGGTAGTAAGGTTCAGTTTATATTTTTACAAATCGTGGAACACTAATACTTTGCTCATATTATATTTTATTTATACTTTCTCTGTGTACTCTATGGAAAACTTAGGAAAACTTAGGCTGAGATGCGCCACCTAATTTTGACCGTATAACTATGACGATAACCGGTGTTTTTTGTATGGAGTTTGACAGATTTTTGACGTTTGTCAAAGTTAAAATAATATGGTGCAACCCAGCCTTAGATAAGCTTGACGAGCACTACGTCAGTAAAACCACATTGACGTAAAGTTCTGAATAGAGTCCGTGGCGGAGCGCGGCGCAGTGTGATAATCGCCTTAGAGGTGGAGCATCACACGTTGAAAGGAAGACAAGATTTGAAACGAAATCAAAGGGCTACGGAAGGAATCTGAGATGAAAACTAAAGAGAAAATCTTCTATATGTCTCTCTTTGTAGAAACCCATCTATTGTTAATATACTATCGGAGATAAATATGTAGATAGTCCAGGAATGTGCGATCCTAACATTGTATGCATATGCGTTCACTGGAAGTAGTAAAAATAAACTTAATTGAAATGAATCGATGACGAGATGTCTATTAATTACCATGGCGGCGATCGCAGGCCGATATATGGCATGCATTTGCATTCATTTGTGTGAGCATAATATGCGGAAATGCATCAATAAAAAAGTAGAATTTATTCGATAAAACTTAACCCAGCATTTTTCTGGAAAACTCGGCACAACATTTTTTCGACAATCGTGAGGGATGCGAGTTCGCTTAGGCTGAGTTGCACTACCATTTTTACGTAAAAATAACAATAACCAGTGCTTTTTGTATGGAGTTTGACAGATTTTTGACGTTTGTCAATGTTAAAATAAGATAGTACAAGTCAAAAAAAATGTTAGAGTACAATAAAAATAAAAACAATATTTTGTTACTTGGACCACCGCCTTAAAAAATTACTTAAATATAATTATAATTATTATTAATTAATTATAGGGTTGCTATCAGCGTTGCCAGTTTTTTTTTTCGCCAAGTCGGGACTTTGGTACTTTTTGAGTAAAAATAGCGGGATTCTTCCGTCAAAAGCGGGACATAGTAAAAAAAACGTATATAATCAAAGGTTTATCTTTTTATTTGACTTAAAATTACGTTTACGTGACAATAGATAGCAAAAGTAGCCATAGAAAATGTATTTTAACAAAAAAATAATATTTTAAATCAGATTTACTCTATCGTTAAATTCGTCTTTAGAATAAAAAAAGAAAAAAATTAAAAAAGTTTTATTCTTTAGAATAATATGGCGTTTCAAACAATAGTCTGGTGAAGTGAGTGTCTCTCTCCGAAAAGCGGGACAGAGCCTGTCCCGCGCGGGACATTTAAATTTGATTTAAAAATCGGGACGTCCCTCCAAAATCGGGACGTCTGGCAACGCTGGTTGCTATTTACTTAAAGTTTGCGAATAATGTCGTCGGTCCACCTTGGACGTCGTAAAGGTAGCAGGGAAGCGCAGGGAAGAACAATTGATCAACGTGGAAGGCATTGGGGGAGGCCTATGTTCAGCAGTGGACGTCCTAAGGCTGAAATGATGATGATAATGATGATTTCGAATAAAAAATTTAATTGAATCGACTCTATCGATTGATCCGCTGATTTTATTTATTTATCATTCAATATACTATTTTGTGTTGTATCAATATTGTTGCGGAAAGATGAGACAATGTCGTTGTTTTTCTCGTCTGCGGCGCATTCAAAGCAGACGGTTATTTTTTCTCAGTAATCGTCGATGTCTTGGATTCGAATGCCTTGAATAGTTTAATAGCAATTAATCGCACCATTGACATCACTATTATAATTGTTGTTTTATTTATTGTAGCAAATGAACGATGACACGTTTTATCATATACTAACTTATACCAGCGGCTATGCGTTGATTTCTGTCTCATCTATGGAAGTCCTTCTCACGTAGTCCACAATTAAAAACACCCACCTGTCGTTCCCACCTATGTAGCCAGGATCTGCAGCTTAACCGCCAATAAAAACCCAACCAATGAAGGTCAAATTTGTCCCGGGGGAAAGTTAAACTGTCATTGGACCCGCAACGAAATTAATCAGAAGAACATAGGAGGAGTTCGAAGTTAAGGTTCGACTTCCCTCCATTGCAAAGCGGATGACAGGTGACAAACAAAGGTTTAGTGTAGTAACCTTTATGAAAACGATATGCACCATTAAGGAGGCCTATTACTCACCTACTTATTTCATACCAAAAGTATTCATTTGAATATTCATTTTCCTTAGCAGAACCTGCAAAACTATCAAAATAATTGAATCTCCATGCAAATTCATAATAACAAAGAACAATCTGTGTGTGCCTTTTTAAGTGAAAAGGAAAACCATGATGAGTCATGTTGACATTTACAGGTTCAATTAACTCCCTGTAGTCCTCCCTGAGAGTCCTTGCTTTGTCTCCTTTTTGTTTGAAGATTGAAATGTACAAGGTAACTCTCATTCGTAGGAAATACTTATTACTCTTTTGCTTATTAATCTGTTTAAATGGAAGGAATTAATTTTATTTTGAAGTAGGCCCGTGTCATGTGGTAGATATCAAAATAACTTCGGACTTAGCTCAATTTGACGATCAAGCGCCTCATCACATCACAAGATTTACCGGGAAATCAATGATCCTAAAATCAACCTTTTAACAAGAGTAACCTTTTCCGTATATTTCTTTTATTTCCTGTTTTGTTCCTTCTTTAAAATAAATTCGTCTTGAGATCAAATTCATGGTGGTTTACATAACAGATCCATTTAATCTAAATTCACTAGGCCTATATCCAAGGCTCCCACTCTGCATTCTTAGCGTTAAATCCATTATCACTGAGAGATTTCGCGCGTTGCGCAAGAGAGCGTTTTCCGGCACCCGGCCTTTGGGACCTTAGCGAAGGTGACATGACACATCCTTCAATGAATTGTAATTATGTTTATTTGGACGTAATCTAGAGCCGATTGTAGCTCATAACGATAGCTCTTTAATTATTACCGAAGATGTGTAATAACGTGAAATGTGATCACATTCTTCCATTGATGAGATCCTTCTTAAATCCACAGACACATACAGAATATGCCTTAATGGAATCGCTAGCTTATTGCACCCTCCGAAGATAAATATGTACAACAAATCGACCGGCCCAAGGCAGACGTCGATTCAGCCCATAGGGCAGTGGGCACATTTAACAAAAATCGGCCAAGTGTGGAGAGGGAGGGTGGCAAGATGAAAGTGTGACAAAGTTTTATTTTGGTTGTGAGCAAACTGCCTGGGCCAAGGAATATTTTCAACATTGTTTTCTGGATAAAAAAACGGCTCAAACCTGTGGCCAAACTAATTCGCTGCTCAAAGTTACCTACTTTTGGTCTTCACTTGAATATTTTATTAACATAATAATATTACTATTTCCAGTTCACATTGGCAGCGCTGTGCGCGGCAGTGAGTGCCGCGCCGCCCGCTCCTCCGCGCCTGTACTCGCAGCACGCGCCTGTGCAACTGCAGCAGATTAGCCCGTAAGTGCACGCGAGGGACATTGCTATTATTATATTGGCAGGAGTAACCATTCTTGCTGTAAAATTGCTATGACTGTGTCAGTAGGGATCAAAAATCTATTAAAACAGTATTTAAATAATAATTATTTAAGCAATATAATAACATCGATATACTTATATGTATGTAGGTGTTTCAAAAATAACTGAACCTCATTTTTTTTCCTCTGTTTCAGATTAGACTATTACTTGGATAACCCGGAGGTAGCCAATTATTACAACCAAGGACAACAGAAACAGGGTAGGTCAATAAAATTTACCATTCATAATATTTTTAATGCAAGTATGTGTGTTTAGCTGTAGCTATAAATAATCCTAGATACAGTGCAAATGAAATTTGCCAAATCTGCCATTTGCTCTGATGAAATAGAGACGGTCGTACTCCTATAGTAAAGACTAATGACCTGATACTGATAATGATGGTAAAGATTAATCATTTATCTCGCCTCGCCTCTCCACCACTGCAATCAGGCGACCACTGAAGACCAGGGTCGTGGTGCTGTGCACTGCAGCATTGTGCTGATGGATTCATACAATGCTGTTAAGTTCTGTCATTTTCTGTTTTTAATGTGCCAAATTTTATTTATCTAATATCACCTCAAGCTTTTCCACACACTTGCTCTACTTTTTTATGTAAAACATTCCAGCCTCCTCCAACGCTGGCCCTGGTGCGCCGTCTCGGCTGGAGACCTTGGAGCCCGACAGCGAGGTGGAGCTCATCCCAGGAGCGCAGCAACCACAACAACCCCCGCAACAGGTACATAAATAAAGAACACCTATCTAAAGTTACCATTTAGACCGCAGCAGGTATGAAAACACCACCCAGCTGCGGTTACTTATTTAAAGAAGTGTTTAATATTACTATGTAGTATGAAGAAGTATTACGAGACGAGATATACCTTGGTGAAAACTGCATCTCATCTACTGGCCCCAGATACCTTTTAGATTTAAAAGAAAATGTTCTTTGAACATGCAAATATTGCGACAGACAGTTTGCCTATCTTTCAGCGCCTACATAATAATAGGGAGCAAAGTATCTTTCTCACATTAACAATAAAATGTCAGGCGTACTTTAAATTACTGATTTTATTTTCCAGACACCAGTATCTCCAAACATACCTGGTCTCGTCCCTGGACAGCGAGTCTTCATAGTTCACATGCCAGTACCTGGTTACAGGTATGTACCCATCTACATCTTATGAAACCTATATGAAATGTGCTGTTTTTCACAAAAAAAATTTCAACATAGTTTTGTAACCATAAAGTAAGGTAACCATAAAATACCATAGGCCGGAAGACGTAGCATGAGCAGATCTCCTACTAGGTGGACTGACGATCTAGTGAAGGTCGCCTGGATGCGGGCAGGACCGGTTGTTATAGAAATCCTTGGGGGAGGCCTTTGTCCAGCAGTGAACGTCATTTGGCTGAAATGAACGAACGAACAAACCACTGGATGAACACTAATACTGCCAGTATTATGCAACTATAATACATATTTTACTGTTACAGACCTGGCACCATTGGTGGTTACCAGCCCGTTTACATAGTGGCAGCAGCACCTCAAGGAAATGTGCAGTATCCTGGCAGTGCGCAGTTCCCCGGCAATGTTAATGGTACACTTTCTCTTTAATATCTTTAATTTAAATATTCTCTCTACAAAAACATTCCGGATTTAATTACTATATTTTGACCCTTAATCAGGCCCAAAAAATTCATTGGTTTTCAACCGTATCTTCACAGCATAAAGGTCAAATGAATGTGGGCTCAGTTAAAGTAGAGCCTGGTTAAGGGATAATCAACAATCTTAAGAAGTTTAGAGCTATTTAAAATGAAGCTAACTATGTAAAATATTACAAGGACTTTTGAGCATCTATTTTCTGCAAGTATGAAAAATACTAAAATATAAAAGAAGGACTATTAAATCGAAACAATTTATTTTATTATGGCTAAATCTACTATATAAAAATAAGTCGGGTTTTCCTCCCTGACGCTATAACTACAGAACGCACGAACCGATTTCCACGGTTTTACATTCGTTGGACAGGTCTCGGGCTCCGTGAGGTTTATAGCAAAGAAAATTCGGGAAAAGGGGGTAAAACGGGATCCACGCGTACGAAGTCGCGGGCGGCCGCTAGTCATTAGATAAAAATGAAAAATAACAAAATATTAAAATTCAACTTTACAGGCTACCAAAACGCAGTCCTCCTAGACCCGTCAGGCCAGGCAGTGTCCCCACTGCTAGGGTACCCTCGGTTTGGTGTCCAGCAGCACCCTGGCTTCCTCGTGGCACCGCAGCAGCAGCAGTTTGCTTACCAGCCGGAACACCCCGGCCAATACCAGTAAGTGGCTGTGCAGTCAGTTATATGTATAAAAGCGAAAGGTCACTGGCTGACTGACTGACTCACTCACTCATCACGAAATCTCAGAAACTACAAGTGCTAGGAGTCTCAAATTTTGCATGGGGGCTCCTTTTAGAAATTAGGTGCTCACTAAGACGGGATTTTGCAAAATTCAACCCTTAAGGAGGTAAAACGGGATCTAAATGTACTTTTTTTACTTGTTTTTGTATCGTGTGAAAATGTATAGTCTGTATGATATGATGATTTATTATGTAGATATGAACCTAAGTATAATAGAATAGAAATAATTTATTAATACAGAATATAATATTTATATCAGTACCTATCTAAATGACAAAAAAGAAGGTAGGTATATGTATAAACTGTGCCAACGAGCTCCCGCTCAGCGTGGCTCAGTATTTATCGTGACATGCTCAAAAAGGCATGTCTTATGTTAAATCATATCTTTTTGTATTCTATGAAAATAAGACTACTGACTTTCATTAAATATTCAAGAAAGCGGGTTGTTTATAACGATTCCACTATTGAAAACATATAATTAATTTTAATTTAATAATGACTGTATAATTATAAGATGCACGAAAGGTGGGCTTATCCATGTGACAGTCACTACCTTTAAATGCCGATACTGTGTGCCTACCATGAGTTTACGTTAGGTGAGCTCGCTAGCGAATACGTCAAAAATTCTATGAAGATTTTATTTCTTGAAAGTAGCCGCTAGGGGCGCTGCACAATATGTCATACATTTAAATGTCATTTTTTTACGCAGTCGCTAGCGAGCACACCTAACGTAAACTCATGGTAGGCACACTGGTGCTTTTAAAAGCAGTATTTTGAAATTAATCTCCAATTTAAATGTTTTTTTTTCTTTGAATACAGACAAGCTCCGCAAGCGCCATCTGGTGCGCGACCCGTGCAGCTGTCGCAGCTGATCGCGCTGCAGACGCACGCCGCCAACACCGCCAGCAATCCACGAGCTGCCAGCACCGGTGAACAATATTTTTATTAAGACAAATTAATTAGTACAATTTTTTAACTAATTACAGTTTTATGTTCAATAACACTGGTCGGCCGTTTGATGTAGTGGTTCAGAACGGACTACTATGCTGAGAGGTCCCGGGTACGATTCCCGGCCGGGCAGAAATTGAAATGATGAATTTTAATTTCTGTGACGGGTCTGGGTGTGACTATGTATAATATTTATGTATTAAAAAAAAAGTATATAAGTAGTATATCCGTTAAGCTAGCACCCATAACACAAGCATTAAGTTGCTTACTTTGGGGCTAGCTGGCGCTGTGTGAAATTGTCCAAAGATTTATTTATTTACTGGGATTATAATAATAGCCATAACTCAACAATGAAAGTTCTTAAGTGGCGACCACGAGCCGGAAAATGTAACGTGAGCAGGCCTCCCACTAGGTGGACCGACGATCTGGTGAAGGTCGCGGGTGGTGCCTGGATGCGACCGGCGCAGAACCGGTCTTTGTGGAAATCCTTGGGGGAGGCCTTTGTCCAGCAGTGGACGTCTTTCGGCTGAAACGAACGAACTCAACAACTCACAATCGAAAAGAAATTAGATTATAACATTTTGATAATTAAATAGTCTCCAATATTTCGGACCATGATCATGGAAAAACTGATTAATTTTGCTGAAAGATGCTTAAAACTCGGTTTCCATTCAACCTCTGCGATCATTCTTGGTACTTAAAGGCGTCCTTTGTGATAGCCTAGAGTCATCAGAGTCGATATACGACACCAAAAAGAACAATGAATTCTCTTATTATCACTTCAATAAAACAAATAGAAATCCACAAGCCTCTATCCATAAGCACATCTAAAAAAAATATACTGCACACTATTTATTAATTAAAGGGACTATTCCCATTTCTCGTTCCCACCGCTGCAACTCCTGTGTAGCCAGGATCTACAGCTTGACCGCCATAAAAACCCAACCAATGAAGGTCAAGTTTGGGGAAAGTTAAACTTGCTGATTTCTTCGAGCTAAAGTGTTCTTCTTTTGTTTATTAACTTTAATATCCTCATCCCAATTCCAGACTCTCAACAAAACGCCGAGCCGAAGCGCCTGGCTCAGCTGCGCGAGAGCAACGAGAAGGAAGCGGACAACCGACGCAACTCCGACTCCCGCGACAAGCAATAACTTCACTACTTTGAGAAAATTCTTGGTCTGTAGATATTTAGATAGCAATGAGGGTTTTCACGAATGAAAGATCCGCTAGATGGCGGGACGTGGATGTGCTGACTGCTGCGTGATTGGTGGATTTTGACATATCTGTCAATGTCATGTCAAAAATAACCAATCATGCAGCATTTGGACCTCGCGTCTACGTATTGCCATCTGGCGGATTTTTCATTCGCGTAAACCCTCATTGAAACACAAGTTCTTGCTTAACTTTAAAAAAAATTAAGGTTACACAGATTAATTTTGTCTCGAATATCGTTCTAAAAACAGAGCGAATTGAAAAGCCTTATACAAAAGATAGGATTCCTAAAACTCTTTTCTTTGTAATGCCATTTGAAAGAGTAGTTTCCTAAAAAATGCAAAACAAAATTAATGATATTAAATAAAGAAGTTACCATGTTAAATATGTTTCTACAGACTCAAGAGTCAATTAAAAAAAAGCGTGTATATATTTTGATTTTATGTAGTAATTTATTAAACACGTACGAAAAGAAATAACCGAAGTAAACTATTGGTACAAAAGAATTTATTACTGCAGCAGAATGAAGAATGTCAGTTTGTGATATTAATTTGAATTTGTACCTGATTGATGTTAAAAATCTTGAAAGTATTTTTAGATTAAATTGAATAAATACAATTAAATACTTGTGCCTTTCATTTCATTTCCTTTAAGTATAAAACCATAAAACGGTTCAAAAAGTATACAAACAATTTTATTGATAGCCTTTGATAACCGTTGTCAAGCAATTCACCTACATATTGACGTCTAATTTAAACCTAGACAAGTGGTTTAATCAATTTGAATGTTTTCAACAGAAATCTTCCGCGTAAAACTCCTTACCTGAAACATAGTCGCACTTAAAATAGTCAAATTAAATAGTTTGACTTCGAATCTCTCTAGGAATTTCACCGGAACCAACAAAAACAATAAATAATTTCAAATGGTCCTCATCTATATCGTTTGCTTCTCCAAATCTATTAAACTTGTGTCTATGCTAGACTACGACTTCTCAGACTTATCTCTCAAACAAACGCCTCCAATCGTTCGTTACTCTATCACTGAACAAAGCTACAATTTCCCTTATCTAAACTATGGCTTGTAATTGCGAATCCTAGGAAATGTAATGGCAAAAACGCCGGATGATTTCTCGGGAGTAGGGTTGCCAGGCGTCCGGCTTTAGCCGGACATTTTTGGCTTTTTAGGGACTTGTCCGGCCAAATATTGCCTTGTCCGGCTTGTCCGGCTTTTGTTAGGCTTTTTATTTGGCTGCCGCGCCAGGCGAAAGTCAAGCCACAGAATCATATAAGCGCACGCATCAGGATGTTGGATAGTAACCGATGATGATAGTACTCACTTATGAACTGACACTAATGCATGTCCGGCTTTTAGGGTAAAATGTCCGGCCAAATGAAGCACAAAGACGTAGCAACCCTACTCGGGAGCCCTTCAGATATGGAGCGATAGCGCACGCGACCGGCTTCGAGCGGGACGGCTTTCTACGGCCGGGGCTAAGGTTGTCGCGAGGTAATTAAAATAGTCTTTATAGGTTCTGTAATAGCCAGAAGTTAATGTTCTGAAATCTAAATGATCATTACATTTCTAAATTTTATTATAGCCTATTAAATACGCACGGAAAATTATGAAAATCTAGCGGACCCGACAGACTTCGTTCTATCTTCAAATTGACTCTACATTTTAGTTAGAAAACGTTTGTATGTGAAAAAGAAAAGGGCTGTTTTTTGAGTTTTCCCGGAAATTATTAGACTTATCCTCGCCGTAAAAACCATCCTTGGACTTCAACGAACATTTGGTAAAATTGGTCCAGGCGTTGCTTGTTGAGTTAAATGCGCTTATCAACAACAATCTTTTAAAGATTATTGAGTGCTACCTAGGACAAGAAAAAAATATCAATTAGAGCGAGCTGAATAGCAATCGACGGATTAGCAAGCTGAAGTGGCAATGGGCTGGGCAGGGCACATAGTACGCAGAACTGATAGCCGATGGGGCAGCAAGGTTCTGGAGTGGAGGCCGTGTACCGGAAAACACCTATAAGGTGGACTGACGGCATCGTAAAGGTAGCAGGGAAGCGCTGGACGCAGGCCGCTACCAATCGATCAACATGGAAAGCATTGGGGGAGGCCTATGTTCAGCAGTGGACGTCCTATGGCTGAAATGATTATAGCGAGCTTTTACATCACATGATTTTGATAAGTTACACAAATAAGAAGGTAACGAAATGTTCAAGCTGCAAAGCTATCCAGGGCTGGGATAAACCATGCCATTGTTTATTAAATTATTACTGTTAAAAATAAAAAAACAGCTTAGTTAATCTCAGAGGCGTTAGGCCCAGAACAGACGGTGAAACGCAACTGCAACAAAANCTTCTATGGAACATGACAGGAAATTAGAACTTTTCATTTTTAATAAATATTTGGACTATTTTAAATTTTCTCTTGTGAGAATTAATCTTAAATGGATGTTTGGTATGTTTTAATAATTAGAAAGAATGAAAGAAAGAAAGAAAAAAATATATTTGGCAACCAATTAAATCATCTCTATGTTCACGTTTCATACATTCATTGATATGAATTTTTCTATTTTTTACACATAAAAGCAAATTCAGAACAATTTTTTGTTGTTATTCTTATTTCTAGGTCATAAAGCAATAAAAATAAGCTATGCATAACCCGTGCGCAAAAATGCTGTAGACAGTTGTTATCTATTGTGTCTAGATTCGCGGGCCTTGAAGGATTAATGAATGAAAATTACGTTCATTAATACGCTTCATTCATTTGTGTCAAATAGATAACTTGCTTGTGCCATTTCAATGTATTTTGAGACACTATGGGCCTGCACCAAATAAACACAAGGGTTTATTGACCATGGTCAAACACGCGCGGTTTCTGGATAGATCTCATTGGCGAGGCACCTTTGACGGTAACTGTAATGTTCTCAATCAAATGTATGAGAATGCATTCAGCTGCTTCTGCCCATCAGCAACCGCGCGATTATTATTGTAGTCTGAACCAGGCCGTTAAGCTACTTACGACGCGATAATTTCACTTACCTATTCAATTCTCAATTTTTTAAGCACAACAACACTGATACTTCCTACATCCCATCCCAACTAATATTATAAATGCGAAAGTAACTCTGTCTGTCTGTCTGTCTGTTACGCTTTCCCGCTTAAACCTCGCAACCGATTTTGATGAAATTTGGCATAGAGATAGTTTGAGTCCCGGGAAAGAACATAGGATAGTTTTTATCCCGGTTTTTGAAACAGGGACGCGCGCGATAAAGTTTTTCTGTGACAGACAAAATTCCACGCGGGCGAAGCCGCGGGCGGAAAGTACACCATAAAGCTAATTTTCGCTCACCCTTCTACATCTTTCACCAGGCACAACCCTCCGAGGCGACATCAACGTATGCATAGTGGGTGACCCCAGTACGGCCAAGTCACAACTACTCAAGCAAGTGAGCGAGATTACGCCGCGGGCTGTCTATACCAGCGGGAAAGCATCATCTGCTGCCGGTCTTACTGCTGCCNTAAACTACCCCCCCCCCCCCCCCCCTTACTAAACATCGATTTAAAATAGTGTTCAACGCGCGTTTAACTTTTTTGTGGTAAGGCCCACCGTGTTTGGGCTCGTAGCGCCACTGGTTACTAACAGGACTGGTGTCAACCTGACGAGTATAATTGCGAATATGGCGATGTTTGTTGTGATAACTTCTGATTCTGACGTGTCGCATACTGAATGTATGAAACCGACTCCGTTCTGATGCGTCACGACACAACACGTCAGACAAATATAAACTATACAGTGGCGCCAACTGAGGAATCGAATGCCGTATCAATCGTAGAATTAGTTATTACGAAGGCGACCCCAGCACGGCCAAGTCACAACTACTCAAGCAAGTGAGTGAGATCACGCCGCGGGCTGTCTATACCAGCGGGAAAGCATCATCTGCTGCTGGTCTTACTGCAGCTGTTGTGAAGGTAATTAAAAGACCACCACGGGCGTACAAAAGTAGGCGTATAAAAATACAAAAGAAGGTCATCTACAAGGGCAGGGATTTGCACCCCCTGAAGCTAGAAGGCCTATAAAGGAGAATGACACTATACAGTGTGAGTCACGTTAAAGTGTACATATGAAAATAGATGAAACTAGACCTATTTTTATCGACAAAAAAGAGGTCAAAATTTTTTTGAGATTTTTTTTAAATTTTTTATAGAATTTTTTTCTTCCAATTACTTATTGTAAAGAAAACGTAATAACTTTTAAACTAATCGGTATATCCTGATAAAATAAAAACAGTACTAATGCTAAATAACAGGCGATACAAAAAAATACATAAAATACACAAAAAAGGCCAACAAATAATAAAAAATGATACTTTTTGAAAAAAATCTGCTTAAAAATTCGTGTTTTTTTGGTTATTTGATAAATTTCTCCAAAAAATGCCCCTATAACCGGTGGTTTTTATTACTTTTTATTTTTTTTTATCGTATTATCTTCGTAAAACCAAAAATCGCATGTCTCTACTATCCCTATCACAACGTTTGCAATGATTGTTTGAACTAAGCCTCTCCAGGCGCGCCATTCAACGCTTCGTTAACAACGAAACTGAAAATGGCTCTAGATAAGTAATAAAAACCACCTGTTATAGGGGCATTTTTTTGATAAATTTATCAAATAACCAAAAAAATACGAATTTTTAAGCAGATTGTTTTTTAAAAAGTCTCAATTTTTATTATTTGTTGCCATTTTCTGGGTATTTTATGTATTTTTTTAGTATCGCCTGTTATTAAGCATTATTACTGTTTTTATTTTATCAGGATATACAGCTTAGTTTAAAAGTTATTAAGTTTTCTTTACAATAAGTTATTGGAAGAAAAAAAATTCTATAAAAAATAAAAAATAAATCTCATAAAAATTTTGACCTCTTTTTTGTCGATAAAAATTAGTGTCCGACCGAAACTAGTTTTACGACCGAAACCGAAACCGAAAACGAATTTCGGCAACGGTGTCTATTTCGGCCGAAACCGAAACTTCCTTACAAGGCTCATATTTTGAGGGAAAAATTAAGAAAACGTTATTATAATCAGTCAGTATTTATTGATTTCTCTTTTTGAATTGCATTAAAATTGAACTTATAAAGTGCCTTTTTACTCTAAAAGGTATCAAATTATGTATTAAAAAAGAAAAAGAAGGATTTATAGTCTAGATTTTTTTTAATTACTCGCAATATTCAGGACATCTACATAACCCGTCCCATTGTCGGGTCTTTTACCTTAATAATTTCTCAAAACAAAATTGGTAGTACGTAAGTTAGTATCTAATGTAGGTACTTGCCACTTGGATACCTTGGTGATAAATACTAAAATGAACTTTGAAACTCTGAATCAATAATATTATCACCATGAAATGCACTATAGTCATTACTAGCTACTTAACTAATGTTTGTTTACGTATAGCATTTGCGAACCAAAAAAATATTATAGGTTAGATTAAACTTTATTATACTTTTATCAGTCATATTGAATTTTTTTTTATGTTTACACCCGCTCTTATGTTATAACGACATAAAACGAGATAAAACTGACTAAATTCAAAATAAATCACTCGAAAACTCGCCACCACAACAAAACAAAACTAATAGCAAACAAACAAGCGAGCGAATCACGACATTGGCTCTGATCGGATTTGTTCACTCATTCAACGCGCTGAACATGACCGATAACAGCGCGGAAACTCCCGAATGCACATTCGGTTTCGGTCGTAGTTTCGGCAAGTTTGCCGCCGAAAACGAAACTAAACCGAAACTCGTGTTTTTACCGAAACTCGAGTGACCCTGGCTTGAAAATTAAAAACTACTAGATTTAAAAAAAATGGATCTGTCAACAACACTGGACCAGAGTGATTCACTGTTTGTACTTCGAATGAGTGCCGTGACGTCACCGATCAAATAGCGCGAAATATTTGCTATGCGCAACTTTGGGGCCCTGTAACTTCTTTAATTGTAGAGATATTTTCATGATTAGTTCACAATTATTATTAGTTTTGCTTATTTTCAAGTTTTATTAAAAGAAATGACCTCTAGCTACCCATCTTTATCGCTCGCGCGTAATTATGTTGCTGTCGCGCTCGCACATTCAACTCAATCGACAAAATTCTACGTGCTCACGGACCGGGCTTTAGATTAGTGTAAACTTGTTGATGATCTTTTAAAAAAATAAATGAACCCTGGTTTTTAATTACCACAGGACGAAGAATCCTTCGACTTCGTGATAGAAGCGGGCGCTTTGATGTTGGCAGACAACGGCGTGTGCTGCATCGACGAGTTCGACAAGATGGACCCGTCCGACCAGGTGGCCATCCACGAGGCCATGGAGCAGCAGACCATCTCGCTCGCCAAGGTCAGTATTCCTTCACTACTTTACGGTATCTACCAGTCTACTTCTGTATTCCACAATACTCTACCTACAGTCCCCATAACAATAGAAACCGACAATTTCGCAAATGTCGTATAATAAATAGACTCAAACAGAACTTAAACTGACCCACTTTCCGTAACATTATGTAAAATAGGTTGCAAGTAAATGGCTAAAACACAAAACTACACATTACAATAAACTAAGCTTAGTCAATTTTGGAGCGGACTCGTGGACCGCAAGAGAGATCATTAAACAAGCATATGTGAAAACATATTAATGGTGACAAGTTTATTAAATTGTTTAATAAGGGACTATTTCCATCTCTCGTTCCCACCGCTGTAACTTCTATTTCGCCAGGACCTTACAGCTTGACCGCCTTAAAAACTCAACCAATGAAGGTCAAGTTTGTCCCGGGAGAAAGTTAAACTGTCATTGGACCCTCAACGAAATTAATCAGAAGAAGATAGGAGGAGTTATTTAATTGTTTGTCTACCTGGTTTTTCATACTGTTTTTTCCTTATAAAATAAAATATATACTCTAAATGCTAAATAATTATTTCCCAGGCGGGAGTCCGAGCAACACTCAACGCTCGCACGTCGATCCTAGCGGCCGCCAACCCTATCGGCGGGCGCTACGACCGCGCCAAGTCGCTGCAACAGAACGTGGCCTTATCTGCCCCTATTATGTCGCGGTTCGACTTGTTCTTTATATTGATTGGTGAGCTTTCTACGACATATTTTTTTTACCTATTAGGTACAGTACAGGTGACAGAAATGAGGAGAACCAAAGTGACCGACATAGCTCACAGAATTGCTAAAATCAAGTGGCAGTGGGCGGGGCACATAGCTCGTAGAGACGATGGCCGTTGGGGCAGAAAAGTTCTCGAGTGGCGACCACGGACTGGAAGATGTAGTGTGGGCAGGCCTCCAGCTATGTGGACCGACGGTCTGGCAAAGGTCGCTCTCGCGACCAGAACTTGGAGTGCAAGTGTGGTTGTGTTCCCCAGTCGATGAAGCACATAATGTCGTGTCCTGCTTGCCCAAACAACTGCACGCAGGAAGATTTAATGAATGCTGCTGACGACGCCACTCTTGTAGCAGAGTTTTGGGCTGACACTGTGTAGGTTTGCTGTCGCGGATGCCTGCCTTCACACTATAAAAACGCTGCTATGACGCTTCTGACGCCCTAATGTGAAAGCGGTCTAAGCTAGACGAACACGATTAAATGTGAAAAGTGTCGTACAGGTAAATTGTAGTATACTGACGACCCTGGTTTCAAATTGTACTGGAACTGGCATATCCCTTTCTTTAGATAAACACAGCTACTATCCGTTCGCGATAAGTTTGCCGCTGGCGATATGACGTCACTCGAAGGAAAGCGTCTATAACTTATAGAAAACTATATTGAAAATATTTTTTATTTATTAATATTGATAAAAATTGTGTATCTGCGTAAAATAAGACACTTAATTGCGTTTAATCACTAACTAATTGCGTTTAATCGCGGTTGGGGGAGGGGGCGCGCGTTCCACAGACCGGCAAACTTAGCGTGAACGGGTAGTAAGTGGGAACAGGCCCCCTCTCTCATTACAACTGTCTACAGCATTTTTGCGCACGGGTTATGCATAGCTTATTTTTATTGCTTTATGACCTAGAAATAAAAATAACAACAAAAAATTGTTCTGAATTTGCTTTTATGTGTAAAAAATTGAAAAATTCATATCAATGAATGTATGAAACGTGAACATAGAGATGATTCAATTGGTTGCCAAATATATTTTTTTCTTTCTTTCTTTCATTCTTTCTAATTATTAAAACATACCAAACATCCATTTAAGATTAATTCTCACAAGAGAAAATTTAAAATAGAGTCCAAATATTTATTAAAAATGAAAAGTTCTAATTTCCTGTCATGTTCCATAGAAGATTTTTCGCATAAAAATCTAACCCTATCATGCTTTCAGTATACTGGCCTTGGTAACGTCGTCTCTCAAATCTCACTATATTTTGATGAAAGCGTGCCCCTTGTTCTTGCGAATAAGCCCCCATAATTATTTATAAATATATCTCAATGAGAATGGGACGTGCATCTTTAGAGACATTCTACTATGAAGATGGAAAATTCAAATCGCTATAACTTCTTAAAAAGCAAATATATTCGATTTGTAATCGCACTTTTTTATATAAATTTGCTTATATAATCAGAATATAATAAGTAAAATCCATGCGCAAAAAAAATTGTTTTTTTTTGTTGACCGGTGTTATCATATCTAATGGTTACACTTTATACGTAGATGAAAGCAGTGAGATGGTGGACTACGCAATCGCCCGCAAAATCGTCGATCTGCACTGCAACAAAGAAGAAACTTATGACTGCGTGTATACCAGAGAAGATCTGCTCCGGTACATCGCTTTCGCGAGGTCCTTCAAACCCATCATTACTGAGGTAATACCTTTAATGAAAGTTGATTTCAAGAGAGGTAACCTTTAGTGGCGCAAGTACACTATGCGGAAAATTTACCTAGACGAAGCGCTAGATTGCACACCAAAGTATGGGCGATGCACTAGTGGTCGAAGGAGAAAATAACCGAAATGGTGTTTACACTATTACGTCTCGGCCAATTTCTCGCATAGTGTACTTGTTTGCACCATAGAAATTCTAATCTAAATAAAAACGAAATCTATATTGTCATTAAGATTTGGTATCGACAATCGTTGTAATAAGGAAGTCGTCAATATATTTTAGTAAGTCTAGTTCTATCGTCAGCACATCAAACGGACACAGATAGGCCTATAAAAGCCGCTTGTGTGGCTGGCATACATTTAGTATGGAAGCTGAAATCATTGAATTTTCGGGAAGATCCAGTTTATTCTGTAACCTATTATTGATACCGTTTAATAGAGCAATTCAGGATCAGTAGCCAGTTTTTTTTTGTATCTTGTATAGTTTAGAAATAATCGAGAGAGATCACTTATCATTTCCACCTTGTATTTGTAAACGTAGTACTTTTGTAAGTACTACGTTTGTACTAAAATAAATAGGTATTTAACGCAACAGTATTTCGTATTTCGCCATACTGTGAGTCTGTATCATCATCATCATCATCATATTATGAGCCATAGGACGTCCACTGCTGAACATAGGCCTCTCCCAATGCTTTCCATGTTGCCTGGTTGGTAGCGGCCTGCGTCCAGCGCCTTCCTGCTACCTTTACGATGTCGTCGGTCCACCTTGTGGGTGGACGTCCCACGCTGCGTTTACCGGTACGCGGCCTCCACTCCAGAACCTTGCTCCATCGGCCTAAGGCCGGCTCTAAGGCCTACAGCACTATTATTAAAACATTTCATATTCCACAGGAAGCCGGCAAGCTCCTAGTGGAATACTACACGGTGCTCCGCGGGCGCGACGGCAGCGGCGCGTCCGGCGGCGGCTCGTGGCGCATCACCGTGCGCCAGCTCGAGTCCATGCTGCGCCTCGCCGAGGCCATGGCCAAGATGCACTGCAGCGGACACGTGGCGCCGCAGCACGTGCACGAGGCCTACAGGTGATTATAGCCCGGTCGCCGAGCACGTACAATTTCGTCCAATGACCCCAAGCTACCCAGCCTTATCGCTCGCGCGTAATTATATTGCTGTCGCGCTCGCACACTCACTGCGGCCGCTCGTCGCACAGTCGCGACAGCAATAATTACGCGCGAGCGATAAGGATGGGTAGCTTGGGGTCATTGGACGAAATTCTACGTGCTCGGCGACCCGGCTTTAGTAGATTATGCCCATAATCCATATGCGGAAACACTAAATTTACTTAGACACAGCAGTACACGGATACAAGTTACACACTCATCTGGATTATCGATAAACAGACACTATCGATTAGTTACGTAGACAGCGGTAGATACGGACACCCAAACCAGTTAGTAAGTTACATCCTAATAGAGTGAATAGTCATGGTTTAGTGACATCGATTGGTGAAACCGAAAGGTACCCATAGGACCGCAAGAGGCAGTTGTAGTCCACGATCCTGAATTGAGTACCTCCTCCTTTTCTTGAAGTCGGTTAATAATCGATACAGTATCGATTACGCGGCAACACTACCTCGCATAGACATCAGACTCGGCCACCCAAGCCGGTTACATGCGCGAGCTCCTCGTGCAATACTACACGGTGCTCCGCGGGCGCGACGGCAGCGGCGCGTCCGGCGGCGGCTCGTGGCGCATCACCGTGCGCCAGCTCGAGTCCATGCTGCGCCTCGCCGAGGCCATGGCCAAGATGCACTGCAGCGGCCACGTGGCGCCGCACCACGTGCACGAGGCCTACAGGTGATTATAGCCCGGTCGCCGAGCACGGAGAATTTCGTCCAATGACCCCCAAGCTACCCATCCTTATCGCTCGCGCGTAATTATATTGCTGTCGCGACTGTGCGACGGGCGGCCGCAATGAGTGTGCGAGCGCGACAGCAACATAATTCGATTATTAATTAGTCACAGCAGTACATGGATACAAGTTACACAATCACCTGGATTATCGATACAACACTATCGATTGTGTATGCGGCAACATTATGCCACGTAGCCGTAAACACTGTTACTCAGACCAGCTACAGCTATACCTGTGATCGGCATATTAATAACATTTAATTTACTTTTCACAGATTGCTGAACAAATCGATCATTCGCGTGGAGCAACCTGACATCCATTTGGACGAAGAAGAGCCTCAACTGGAGCCGACGATGGACGTCGACCAAGACGTGCCCAACGGCACTGCGGATACTAGTAAGTGGGAGCTTATTAAAAAAAACCTCTTTAGAATAATAAAATGCTCAATTTACACATGGAAGAATGATTAGTCAGATAAAAAAATCATGCTTACATACTTCAGCATACTCATGCGTCCACTCATGCAGGCGAAAAAGGATATTATTAATAAAAGTATTTTTTTAAATATGCAATTAATAATGTAGAACCTAGAGCCGACACCTATAAAGGTCGCGGGAAAGGAAAGGCTGGCCATCTGGAAGTCATAAGTGAAGGTCTCTATTTTTACTTTTATTTTAGACCATTATCCATGGTCTATGTTCAATGGAGCGTATGAACGTCCTTTGTTTACTAGAGCTAAAATGTTTTTAACCTTCTTTCCACTGCTTTCTGACATTTTGCTAATATTTCCTTCAGACGGCCACGTGAACGGAGACTCCGCTCCCAAACAGAAACTGACGCTGTCCTTCGAAGACTACAAATCCCTCAGTGACATGCTGGTCGTGTTCATGAGGAAGGAAGAGGCGGAAGCTGAGACTAGAGGTGGGTAGCACTTTGAAGTGGTGGGAATATATTTCCCAATATATTTTGAACTTTATTGCTTTGTTTGAAGGTTCAAAAACAGAGATTTTATAAAAGAAAACTAATTTTGATAAGATTTTTTACTTATTGATTGCTACAAATGAGACTTCAACCATCGAACTTTTTAGCTTGCCGACCAATTAACTATAAAGAGTTGTGGGTTCAATGAAAAGTCTTGGGAAACATCTTGTTCTAGATAAATAAATGTGAATTATTAAATTGTTGCCTATTTATTAAATTACACACATTAGTAATAATAATTGACATTCTGTCAGTCAAGTAACTTTTACTTTCCATGTGATTGAAGCCCGCTAACGGACAAATAGCGGAGGTATAGATCGTTTCTTCCACGAAGACGCGCCCCACCAATTTTTGATCCAGGGAAGCGCGGGGTGCGGGGAGTTTGATCCGAGCTATCCGAGTGTCATTATTGTATTGTGCGTGTGCTCCTCAGATCATAGAAAGAGAATTCTATGATCTGAGGTGTGCTCTCATGGATAATTTAGCGTGTACTGATAACACTCAAACATTAGCGGAAGAATGGTGGGGTGCGTCTTCGTGGATGAAACTAAAGCCTGGTAGCTTGGGGTCATTGGACAAAATTCTACGTGCTCACGGACCAGGCTTTATCTACATTTACGGAATCGCAACCCAGTCTAATTGAAACCTTATTTCTATGTCAATACAGGTGAAGAAAGCGCGGGCATGCGTAAGAGTGCCGTGGTCAGCTGGTATCTGGAACAGCTGGTAGCGCGCGGACACATCGAGAGCGAGAGCGAGTTATTGCAGAGGAAGACGCTCGTCGAGAAGGTCATCGACCGTCTTATGTACCACGTGAGTGTATATTATGTTAACTAATACTTATTTACTTTACATGTGGGCGGGGCACATAATGTACAGTCAGGGTAAAACAGTTTGTGACACCCATAGTAGCCAAAACATTCGCAAGGTTGTGTTATCAACTTTTTTGGCCACTATGGATGTCACGAACTACACTCGCGAGCAAAAGTAAGGAATCACCCCATTCGTTTTAAGTAATCTTTGTAGCTAAACAACTATGAAGTTTAAATTAAAAATGTTACCAGTTTAAAGGTTACATTACAAACTTTAACTTGATACTAGGAATTGGGTGATTCCATACTTTTGCTCGTAAGTATATTTTACACTGACTACATAGCTTGTAGAACTGAGGTTTATTTGCATAACCACATTGACACACAATAAGCAAAAAGTTTAAAAGTGTAACAAATACAGAAGTAGTATAAAAAATAGTGACATTACAAGCAATATAAAAGGAACATCCTGCGCTAAGTTGCAAGTGTGCCACAGCGATGCAAAAAAGCAGAGAGCTCAGTGTAAGAACACTGCTCTAAAAAAGAACAGAACACTGATTTTCAGCTCTGGCCTGACAAAAGAAAACGATCGAGTTACCTTGACATTATTTCACACTACTCTCTGTTTCACAGGACCAAGTGATAATTCCTCTGTCCACGACGGGTCTGAAGGCCACGCAGAAGTCCGCGGACCAGGAGTTAGAAGACGACCCGCTGCTCGTGGTACACCCCAACTATGTGGTCGACACGTGAACTGTGCAGCTGTGACGTCACGGGTGTTAGGCATAAGCGAAACTTTTTGAATACAATTTGGATGTTTCTTACTTTTTAGTTTTATTTTTCTACTTAAGAGCGTTTAAGCCGTTTGGCGCAAAAACAGTACTTTTTCAACTCGTTACAATCATTAACCAGTAATACTACAAATATGTTATAGGCATAAATAGTTAGGCAATTTCGTCGTCTAAATAGTTAATTGAGAAAATATTGCGATTAGTTTAGTATTTAAGAATTCTATCAAGATAAGTCCACACAGGTTTTGTAAATTTCCACTTTAGCGTCAGTTTACAAGCTGAAATTTTTATAAAAATACTGTGAAAACGATTTAACAAACATTTATATCCTATAGCATAGATCCTTGGGCAAATAGTTATCTGAGAAAATTTTTAGATTTAAGCATTTTACAATAAGAAATCACAAATTAAAAGAACGTGAAATACCCAAAAATCAAAGTGATTTTTTCACCAATATTCTTCCTTTATTCAACACAAAAATAGCTTAATATAATAGAAGAATATCTTATCTAAAATATTTACTTTGAAATTTAAAATAATTCATTGTAATTTTTTTTCTATGAGTATTTGAAAACTACTATAAATCGCCGCGCACGAATCGTTCAAATTCAGTCCGCCTCGAGGCGTTCCAGAGTGAGGTCACGTCGCTCGGTGCTCTGCTGACATGTGTCACGCGTACGTTGATCTTTGACAGGTAGCTGGACTTTTATAGTGTATCCGCAAAATCTTGGTGGTAGATTTTGCGATCACGTGGTAATTAAAATATTTTATTGTTATTTTTCATTACAGTCTATTTTTACTACAAATTCTATTTCAGACGTAATGAAAAATAAAATTAAGTTATTTTTAGCGATGAAACGAAAACGAATGACGAAAATTTGGAACAGCAAGTTATGTATGTATACTAATATTATAAAGAGGAATAATACTAATAATTTATTTGCCATAAATAGGTGGTTACAGAATAGTTAATAGGAACGCTCTGCCAGCAGGGTCCCACCTAGTTGTAGGGGGAACATACACAACATATTACAGTCGGAAAATCTTTGCGGTAGGTACCTCGGATTGTAGTTAGTTGGACAGTGGTCATTTGACGGCCACTTGAATCGTCTCACCCCTAAGCTTTTGGCTACCGCCGGCGCACTAAGCCGGTTGATGCCTAATCTCGGAGGCCCGGCTGCACTGAGTCGCTGACTATACTTTTGCGTCGCGCGTTATATGGTCCTATATGGGGCTCGAGTATGGCACAGTGCTGTGTAGTCGTGGAGCATCCTACTGTTCAAAAAAGCGCAACGCATGATATCACTGAGGCACAGGCTAAGGTAATTCGTGGATACCGCATCTATGCGGGAATAGACGGACTGCGGATTAGAATCCGCAGTCCGTCTATTCCCGGTTGTGGACACTGACTATGTCCCTACTGAGGATAAATGGGAAAAAAAATTGTCATTAGTGGCGACGTATAACAATCCTACTAATATTATAAATGCGAAAGTTTGGATGTCTGGATGTTTGTTACTCTTTCACTCAAAAACTACAGAACGGATTTTGTTGAAACTTTACATTGTATTGTTTATAAACCAGATTAACATAATTATAGGCTATAATTTATGACGATATGTGACAAATACATTTCAATAAATAAATAAGACGTGTCTAAAAAGCGCAATCTATCGTCATTGGTTAAACTCTACAGCGCTGGNCGCGCACGCACACACTGACAAAATTTAGCGGGGATTAGCGGGGAGTTGCACCGGTCAGTGTGTGCGTGCGCGCCGCATACGTATTGGCGCGCTCACATACAAAAACCGCGCTCGGTGCGTTTCTATGAAGATGACCTACTCATTTGTATTTACTCTGGTTTCACCGTGTGTTCTGGGCCTTAGTCGTACACTAACTAGACCTGTAGTTTTGGACTCCGATGGAGTTAAAAACGAAATCTACTTGTTGATCATTATACTTTAACTTTGACTACGTTTGTGCAAAATATACAACGTCGAAATAGTCATAATAAAATACGAAAGCGTGTCTTTTACAATTTAAGGTGGATTCATATTTGTATGACGTGTCATGTGATATATCACAATGGAATCGATTTCAGTTTCAGATTTTAATAAACTCTAGTTACTATCTAGGTCGTGTCGCATACTAAATGTATGAAACTCTTTTCTGATGTCACATATCACGTCAGATAAGTATAAATCCACCTTTATATACCAATAGTTTTTAGTTTCAAGTTGTGTGTCGTCAGGCGAGCGATTTTAATCGCGTTAGTGCCGTCAGCAATCGAGTTATTTCAGTTGTTAGCAATGGACAGTTCCTACGGCTATTTTTTTGTTAATTTGCAGATGGTACGCAGTGAGGGTAGACGTGAAAATTTTATCGGCTAGTGTGGGGGCAGTGTCGATATTTTTGTCGATGATTTTATAAAAATGTCACTTGTGCTGTGCTAGATCTAAGTCGTAAAGAGTTTATTTGAAGTAACAGTTCTTCCATTTTTAACTAATAGAATCCAGAATTTAAAAAATATCGATACTTATTAACATCACTACGAAATGAAGAGAGAATCGGAATCGGAACACTGGCATTTGTTAAAGTCGCTCGCCTTTAAAATTATACATTTTTCGCTTGTTTTTAAGACATTTGTACATTGTTATTGATTAGTTATAGTCGCTTCTAATGTATCTGACTTAGTTTGTAAATGATGTAAAAAATATTAAAAGAAAAAACCGTAACTACGCCGTTATACAACACTAATAAAGAAAAAATATATACCCAAACCTGAGATCGGCGAAAAAAAGTATTTTTTGAAAAAGTCAGTGCATATTTTTTTAAGGCGGTTGCTAGACAGATTGTAACACAAGAAAAAAATAACTTGTGAGGATTGAGTTTGTTTTGTGGAAAAAATGAATGTTAAAAAAAGATTGCAACCGCCAAAATAAAAAAAAATGGTTCTGAAGTTTCTGGGAGAGTCACAATCACAACGCCTTCGGGCTTTCTGTTTCTGTTGTCTCTTTCTTGCGTAGTGTGAGAGAGAGATGGACGACTTAGCCTTGAAGAACAAGAAATGAAGAGAGAAGAGTTTATTTACAATAGTTGTCTCTTTCTACGAGAGATGAACTATTGTTGATAAAATTGAAGACTTCAAGAAAGAAGAATAAATAACTTATTTGCAATAGTTGAGGTTCTCTTTCTCTAATATAACGGGAATGTGAGACTGAATCAACTATTGTAAATAGAAAACTGAAGAAAGAAGAAATAAAATGGGAAGCCTAGAAGAACGAAGTCTTTAACTGAAGAATACAGAAGATCAGTCAAGAAGAAGATAGAAGAAAAATAAAGAACTTTGTGTATGTTATTTCAAACCTTCTTAAACAAAAAGACATTTAAAAAAAATCTTTAATTTATTACAAAAGCTTTTATAAAGACTTAAAAAACTACGAACTAAAACTCGTTGCTAAAAAAAACTAAAAAGTAAAGAACAATTTTTATTTAATTCAAAAGCAAATAAATTTCGGTGCCTTTTTTAAATTAAATTTAATTGCATTTAACTGACTACATCCATAAGGCCGTTTCGAAAAAAACCTATTCGCACCTTTTCCCTCAACTGTTCACGTAAATGTAAAAATTATGTCATAAAGAAATGATCCATCATTAGGTTTCATTACGTGTTATATCAAGCGGAATATTCAACACCTGATTTGCAGTAATCACGTAATAAAGATTTTTAGGTCTACTTGGTACTAGACTAGCTTTTCAGGATAAAAAATGTATTCGTGTGCATCGGTCACCTGCCTAAAGTAACTTCAAATCGCTAAATAAAATGAGCACAAATGAAAAAAAATTGGAAAAACTTTTCTATTATGTATTTTAGATTAGAATTGTCCGTAATATGAATGCTTTAAATAAAATCAAGCCACAAAACAATAAAAATCTCAAAAGAAAAACAAAATTAAAAACTCGTCATCGGTCTCATCTCATCATATATCTGGCTGAGAATGCTTATATAGCATTAAGTCCACCTTTTGTACGATTTTATTGTGCAATAAAGTTTTATAATTAATCATACGATGTGTTAGTTTTTAGACTACAATTTTCGCGGGCAATTCTCCAATTCAATCGCTAGAATCCGACTTAATATTGTTGAAGCTCATCAACAATGTCGTGAGCAATATCTCACTCGTACCTTAATTTTTAAACATCTACACTAATATTATAAAGAGGAAAACTTTGTTTGTTTGTTTGGTTGTAATGAATAGGCTCAAAAACTACTAGACCGTTTTTAAAAATTCTTTCACCATTCGAAAGCTACATTATCCACGAGTAACATAGGCTAAATTTTATTTTGGAAAAAAATAGGGTTCCGTAAAATATGTAGATAATGTAGTCGCCGCGCGCGAAGCCGCGGGCGGAAAGCTAGTTTTAAATAAACAACTTGAAAAAATCTAACTGCCTAAGGCGGGAATTGAACCCACGACCTTTAGCTTGCCGGGCGACTGCTCTTCCAACTGAGCTACTTAGGCACTGGATGAACCCAGTTACCTTAACCCAGTCAAGCTAACTGCGCACCAGGCAGCCGTGACGTCACAAGTCGCATCGGACGCTCTGGAACGGACGAGGTGTGCAGTGTGCATTAAGTGCGCAGTTAGCACTTAATTCGGTTGTAGTAGCCCATCTAGGCATCTAGTAGAACATAGAAGTGTTCGCACCATCATTATGGCCCATTACGCCACTTACACCCTGATATCAAATTAATATTCAATGTCTAATTTGCGAGAATTACGTAATCACCACCTTTGATGCAACGCGCCACTCGCTGCTATAATTTGAAAATGTAGCAATAATTGGAAGATTACAAAGAAATCTAAATGGGAAACACTTGTATTTTATGCACAGGCTGCTCCCAAAATCGTTGACACTTCAAGTACCAACGAATTGAGACAATAGAAATTATTGGTGACCACTTAGGGTAACACGAGTACAAACCTTTTAGTAACTTAATTTAAAATTACTGAATTACTTCGGTGTATACC